TTTACTACTTTTTCATGGCTTTTGACCTTTTATAAAAAATGTATTGTTATTTTGTTAAAATGCTTCATACTATTGTTAAGTAATTTTTTTTTCTCTACTATAGCACTGTTACAGCTATCATAACTTAGCATACTGGACAGGTGTGGATTACATAGGAGTTGGACCAGGTAGATAAGTTTTGATCAATTGAGTTATACAGGGGAGTCACGAAAATTCAAACTTAAGTCAGCTCAATTCGAAACTGAAATTAGGATATTTTTAGAGAAAAAAATAAGCAAAAGGAGTAAATTAGTGTATCATGTGCTAAAAATTACAGTATGTTTCAAAGATAGACACAGTTTAATGAACAAAACAGAGCAATGTTATATGTAGTTCTAAAGTAAGTATATTGGCTTTAAAAAGTCTATTACATATTTTAGTCAAAGAGAAGACCTCTCTTTTTATGCAAAATTACACCAATGTATCAGATACAACTCCATTGTAACATTTTTTTTAATAAAGAATAAACCTTTTCTTTTTTACAACGAAACCTGTTTACTTAAATTGATGATGCAGGTGCACACGGACGATTCACCCCACGAGATAAAGGTCAGCGAGAAGCCAGAATACAGACACTAGAGCCAGATAACTGGATGTGGGAAGTAGAAAATTATAGTCATGCTACCAGGAAATGCATTCCATTAACTATGCAAGACCAGTAAGAATTAGAATCAAGTCTATGTGATTGCCAGAACTGTTAACTGTTTTATTTTAGAAATAAATTTTTCATGTCTCCATAGCTTGGAGCTATATAACTGGGTGGGCTCGATCATCATAAATGAAAATGTCAATCAATCCATCTTAGCATCTTAACTGATAACTCTCCCATTTCCCCAATCTTCTTAAGTATGTCTAAATTTCACATTGCCTTACGATTTTAAACAATCATCACATTTATTAATTATTTTCCTTTCTTATTACTTAATTATTATATTTTTTTTTAAGATTAGAAGAGCTTTTATCTGTGGGTCTTAGAACTAAATCTGGAGTTACTCATTTTGTAAGTTTTTACCTAATATATGTGACTTACTAATAAATAAATTAATATGTTTACATCATAACTTTATTTTAGCAGCATTATGATTTTTGTTACTGAATGTATATGAATATTAACAATGTAATAATAATGACATTAATAAATCTCCTTAATCTGTGATATCATATCGTTAGTCAGCCTATCAATTAAATCATATCAGTAACACTTTCGACATGCACACATCTCTTTTTTTTTTGTATGGACAGAGGTAGGATTGTGGCTGTTGACAGTTTGTAGTTTATATTCTGATATTCATGCTGAAAATATTGAAACCTGCCTGAGTAAACTAGTTCTGGAACAAAATCTTTGGGGGATTTTTTACCACACAAAATATCTTGTAACCTTGCTTAATTATGTTTTGCAGGCATGGTCCAAAATTTGTCCTAAAAGAAGTATTGATGACTTGCTATTACACAATCAAAAAGTTCTGTTTTACATTCATAAAGGATTGCTTGTACTTGACCATAGGTAAGTCTTTGACAGCTAGACACTGTTGTGATATGGCAAATAATAGATAGAAGCAAAGATTCTAATGCAATTTGCCCTGCAATCTGATATGATTGTGTCATTTGTCAATAGTTACTATTAGTCTATATAAATATGTGATTAGATTCAGCTTTTTAAAAATTAATTTTACTACATAGAAGTGTGAGTGTAATGTGTGTGTTAGTCACTAAATACAAATTATTCAATTTTTTTTTATTAGCTGAAAATAATACCAGTATCTTTTAAAGGGAGATATTGTGCTGACCAAATAGCTACACTCAGAATAATTGTAGAACAATGTGTCGAATGGCAATCTCCTCTCTATGCAACTTTTGTCGACTTAGTCTGACGCAGGGAAAGGAAACCAATGGACTCTCACACAAAAGCTGGAAGATCTGGAATTCACTGATGACATAGCCATATTATCACACAGACTACAGGATATGCAAGAAAAGGTCACAGCTTTAAGCGAAGTAGGAAAAAGAGTAGGCCTCAAAATAAACCATCAAAAAACTAAAGTACTCAAAGTAAACAATAAACAAATTGGAGACATAGCACTGGATTCTCAGACAATAGACCAAGTAGAAAAATTTATATATTCTTTGGGAGTGTAGTCAGTATATCAGGTGGAACAGATGAAGACGTTAAACGCGTATAAATCTAGCGCGTCAGACATTTACACAGCTAAAACCTGGAAATCTCACATCTCAAACAAGACTAAACTAAGAATCTTTAACTCTAATGTCAAGGCTGTCCTACTGTATGGTTCTGAAACATGGAGAACACCTGAAGCCACAACAAAAGAAATACAGACCTTCATCAACAGATGCCTGAGAAATATCCTAAAAATACACTGGTATGACAAAGTGGAAAACACCAAACTGTGGGAGATGAGTGGGCAGAAAAATATAGAGGTGCAGATCTTAGAGAGGAAGTGGAGATGGATTGGTCACACCCTTAGAAAAGATACCAGCAACAGAGCTAGGCAGGCCTAGAGTGGAACCCCCAGGGAACAAGACGCAAAAAGAACATGGCAATGCAGTGTACTTGAAGAATCAGAGAAGACCGGGAAGAGCTGGGAAGCCATAAAAAAACTAGCAAGAGACCGTGGAGAGTGGCGTGTTTTTGTCGAGGCCCTATGTTCCATGAGGAACTCAAAGGAGTGATGATGATGATCTTTTAAAGTAACTGTCACACACAGATACCAATACTGTTTATTACATGTGAATTAAAGCTGTCCCTTTGGACAAATTGGCTGTATGGAGAGGGGAGAAATACTATATTGACAAAATTGTTCTCATCATGAGGCTGTCACATCAAAGCCCCTAACTTAAAAACTGGAGAGGACACTCCAACTTTGCCTTTGGTGTCAACACAGAAAGTGGCAGTCACTGGTTGTAAACTATAACAACAGAGCTGTATTCTGTCAGATACTAGAATCTATATATCAGTGAAGGAAAGAGAGAAGCTGACACTGAGGCATAGTGCTAATACAAAATAACTAGAATCAGGCCCTTCATTTTTATGTATATTATAAATGAGATTTTGATCACAAATTGTTAATAAACTCTTAAATATGAATAGAAATAGACAGACTCAATGGCGATTTACAAACACACAAAGGCTTTATTCAACCATATTAGACAATGAACAGCAACACACATTTACTTATCAGCTAAGGAATCTAACTCTTATACATTACATATCAACTTAAAGAAGGTTTAAATAGCATTGAACATAGACTGCCAGATACCTCTCATCATTATCATTGAACATAGCCTGTCAAATACACTATTGTATTATCTGTGAATTAAAACAAATATGATTTTTTTCTAATTATTTTCAGAGGTCTGAAACCTAGCTCAGAAGGAATGAATATTATTGACAGTATATTGCCAGATCTCCTCATTGCTTTACAAGATGCAAATAACACAGCCATATATAATAAAAATAAATGATTTCCTCATCCATATTGTCTTTTCCATTATTTATTGAAATGAGGGTTACACGTTCTTATTGCTTCTGTGCCTTACACTGTCTTGGGATTTGATAAACTTGTACTGTATAAAAAAAATGTCTGCTCAAAGGGACATTTAGTGTCCCTAAGGGGGTCTTAAAAAGCAGCTCAAATGTTTTCTGCTGGCATGGTGTAAAGAAAGTTTGACTGAAAACTAGATGTAACATCTTCCAGTAAATAGATATATCCTAGACTTTCAAACTCATGTTAAAGCATTCCAATGTCCATTTTCTTGATATTCTAAGACATTATTAGTTACAAATCTAACATTTGATTCCTCTGTCATAAAGTATTATGGTTACTACTTAAATCCTCTGGCCCTATTTGTCCACTGAGCTGCAAGTTGTCTCCTTAGAAATCAATCTCCAGCAATATTTTCAGCCTTTTCCTTAATTTGTGCTTACTGATTTGAGATCTTCCATGAAGGTTCCAGTCTGCTTTTTCTTTGTTTCAGCCTCTATGCTATTGCTATTATTGGGATGTGATTCATTCTGTAGGAGAACATGTTCTGCATACCCCATGCAATAACCAATGCTTCTCATAACCTCGCTAAATTACAATTAGATGAATTACAGTTGGAGCATGTCTAACCCTAACCCTAACCCAGAAAAATGTCAGTTGTTAAGAGTAACAAAAAAAAACTAAAACAAATTAATTCCACTTATCTTATTCATGGCAAACCAGTAACACAGACTAAAAACGCAAAATACCTAGGTGTTATAATAAATGAAAAACTGTCATGGAATTCCCATATTGATGAAACTATCAAAAAATCAAACAAAGCATTAGGGTTTATTAAAAGAAATTTCTATGAATCAAATAAGAACATAAAACTAAAATGTTATTTAACCTTGGTTAGGCCAATAATAGAATATGCATCCTCTGTTTGGGACCCCTCAACTCAAGAAAACAGAAACTGATACAGACACAAAATAGAACAGTGAGATTCATAACAGACGAATATTCACATTTGACTAGAGTAACACCTTTAGTAATATCACTAAATTTAGAAAGCCTTCTGGATAGAAGACTCAAATGTAAAGAAGCAATTATACATAAAACACTGAACCATAATCAAATACAAAATTTAATAAAATACTCAAAGACACAAGGATTAAGGTGCATTCATTGCTCAATATACTAGGACAAATTTGTGCAATTGCTCCTTTTTCCCTAGTGCTATTAGAGCATGGAATGGGTTGCCTGAGCTAGCCAGGAAAACCAGTGACTTAGCAGAATTTAGGTCATTGGTTAATATGCATGATTAAATGCATCACGCTTAGGACGTAATCATCTTCTTCTTTGAAATAACGCCTGAATTATATAAGATTAGATAAATAGTCAAGTGCCAGTTTGGCATAGAATTCCTCTGTTGTAAAAATAAATTCTGAACAACACAAATATGTAGTTGACAACAAAACATTAACTTTTGTTATTCTCTTTATTTTTCTCCAGAATATTAAAAATAAACAAATTCATTAGATCAAAGGACAGTTAACTTAATAACACTACATGGATTATTTGATGTCTAGACATGTATAAATGAAGTCCCTAATCAAAACATTTGCTTCAAACTTTTAATTACAAATTTACATTCGCTAAAATGAAGAGCAAACATAAAGGAAGGCATCCTAGATAGTGGTGTACACACCAGAAGTAGAAAAAAGGCTGACAACGCTGAAGTGACTGGTGATCACAAATACCCGACCTAGATCTCAGCTATCAAGGATCATACTCTTTAGTCACACGAGATGTTGCAAAAGGAAAAGATAATCAACTAAAACATAAAATGCCAGATAGAAAATACATATGTACTCGACTTCAATTTATACCATCTAATTAGTAATTAAAATCTAAAAAAAAAATCTAGCCTTAGCTTAAATAATTCTATCATCTTAACCAAACAAAATTTGAAAATCTGAATCCACAAGGGAATGTTCAACAGACAAAATAAGCATAAAAAAATAAAAAATAAAACAACAGGAGTGTAAAACCAAGATAAAAATGAAACATGGGCCAGGTGATCAAATAGTTTGAAGCTGAGGATTTTTAAGTCAATTTTACATCCAAATATCAATGAAAAACCGCTGCACACAGATACAAGACAACAAACATTCGTATCTTATTCATACACTTTTAAAGGGAAAAAAAGAAATTAAAATTAAATTATAAATAAATATTCATATGACAATTTGGGTCAAAACCATTGTATCATATTTAGTTCTCACAAAAAAAAAAAAAAGACAATGAACAGTTAAATATGCATATATTACATATATATAATGTGGCCTGTACAGACATTATTGTGCTTCCTCAGATCATTCAGAGTGTTCACTAAGAGCTTTGCTAAACTTCAGTCAACAAATACTGAGTGTACATTTATTGCTATGACATTGGAAACAAAAATTCACACAATTTAACTTAGAAAGCCTTTAAAGCCATATCTGAAATATTAATTGGTAAGGCTAGTGTCAAGCCTATATAATAAGAAGAGAACAGTTCTCAACCTTAGTTACACATCCCTTTAGAAATCCTATTTGGTGGACAGATGAAAAACTTTTTAAGTTAGGGGAAAAAAAAAGAGGGTGGAGAGTATTTGTTGACTCTATTTTAATGTGCAAAACAGTGCCTAAATTAGCCAATGGTTTCTGCAATTTAAATCTCTACCTAAAAAATTATTTTCATGTCTAAGTATGGGTCATAATTTTTTTTTAAGGAATAGAAGCAAATATTGGGAAAAACTACAAAATATTTACTTGAGCAGCTGATCACCAAAAACACTCATCCTGTAAAAAAAAAATTCTACTACTGTCCAAATATTTTACCCTTAATCTCTAAGAGGCAGTTTTACATCTCATGAAATGCATTATTGTAAGAAATAACAATTAAAAGACTAGGCTGAAAAATGAAATGAATTAACCAAATTTTAATGATTTTCAATAAATGATGCAATGATTTTTCAAACACTTAGCACACTAAACTAAACTAGAGTGGCAAATGCACTGAAAATAAATGCTATGAACACAAATCATTAGTCTCAAAGTAAAAAATAACAACTCTGTTCCATGGAAATGTGTGTAGCCTATGTGGTTCAACCAGTTGCATTCAATGCTTACAATTCTCAAACTGTCTTAGTATTTTATATTTTTACCAACATTTACAGGGGAGAAAAAAAAGCCCACCTAGCCAAAGGTTCTCAAGTGAGTTTCAATTGTTTAGAACAATTGTGATAGGATCAAAACACTTGACGTGGCTAGTACAATGAACATACTATTGTAACTTATCATATTAATTACTAAGGAGGAAATAAGACAATCATTGCTTCAAATCTACATATCTGGTTTTGTAACTAGGCATAAAGTAGTACCCTATTCTGAAAATAAATCTCAGAACCAGGGTCAGCTCAACATCCCAATTCCAAATCTTTTGACTTTACTTAGATATTTGAACCTATGTGCAAAGGTTACTTTCATTTGTATACATGTTACTTTGCCTCTCTGATTTTATTCACATTTAAGTAAAAGTCCTTAGTTCATTCACATTACTTTAAAACTATCACATGTTGGTCATTCTTGATATTGTCTTTATTCAATGTGCTGATGCTCCTGCCATAAAATTCTGAGCCGCGTAATACAGTTCTGTCCATAATGACTCTTGACAAAGCTGTAGGTAGAGCACATAATGACAAATGTCCAGGATAGCCACAATAGCCAGTCTCTACCACGGACAACTACACTTGGCAATGGACCAACGAAGTCTATAGGCTCCAGCTTGACATGCTTATCAGGGAGAAGACCTAAGAGTAAGAACATGGAAAGTATTAGACAGAAACATAAATATTTTACACTCAATGTATATGTTTTATTGAAGAACAAATACATTTAAAAAGTATTAACTATATTTTACATTATTTTGATATATCTGGTTACAAATATTTAAATCCAATCAACACATCAAACTAAAGTTTGAACTCAGTAATAAAACTTAGTTTTTATATTATCCTTCTTACCAGTATTGTTTGTGACAAACTGACTGAAGTTCTCAAGAACTCGAATAGTATGATTAAACCTCACCGCTGATCTTAGGTGGAACAGCATCACATTGGGTACAGCAACAGTTCCAAATCTTGCATTTAAACTGAAACAGGTTAGCAAATAAACAATGGGTAAACTTTAAAACATTATACACTTGACTCGAAGACAAGCCTTATATTTATATTTATGTGCAAAAGACAAATTATTTCAAGACAACATTAGACTTACATACAAAGAACAAATATTTTGAGATTACAGTAGACTTACATGCGACTAAGTGTGAAATGTACTTACTAACTAAAATGAGATGTATCCACTGCCAAGACATCTAGCTGAGGAAAGGCTCTGGCTAAAGCATTATAATGAGGAGCAGTACGAGCACAGAAATGACACCATGGTGCATAGAACATAACAAGTACACAGGTAGACACCTTCTGGTTCTTGCTGAAGTTCAGTATCTCTAGCAGTTCTGTACTGTTTACAATTTTAACCTGCAGTCAAAATAATTGATTCAAGTTTTTAAATAGTTTATGCTAATTAATGAATGCTTTAATAAAACATGTACTTTGTAAAAGAAATGCATCTGGTATTGGTAATGGCTCAAGGCTTTGAAAGGATATCTAATGGTTCACTCAGTTAGTTCTTATTGAGATCTATTAGCTTTTTTTTTTAAAAAAAAATAAAAAAAAACACCTTTTCTGGTTCTGGCTAATAGCAGAAGAAATTACTCTGAAATAACTAATACAACCACAACATCCCTCATAATAATAATAGATTAATTCATGTGATGGCCTACTAGTTAATTATTCCAGTAATTTGTGAAACACCTTTTCAGGCCTCAAGGAACACTAGGGTTCTGCAGAATACAGATTGGGAAATACTGAGCTAATAGATGACATTGCAACTACTGGGGTATTTAAAAAAATTTGACAAAGTTCACCACCTTGGCCAACTTAAGCAGATAAAATACTTAAGAAATATGTCAGCAACATAAATGTATCCAGAAATCTCTAATAAGTTGTGTAAATTAATCATAAAAGGCTAATAACATCAATAACTGTAAAATCTGGTGTCCTCCAAACAACAGTATTAGATCCATTATTTCTCTACTAATTTACCAAAATGACCTACTAGACCTAACAGCATTAATCCCAAAACAAAAGTTTAGCTATTTGCAGATGACAGCTTATTATATAGAACAATTTAAACAACACAAGAAATAGAAATCTTTATTAGGAATAACAATGAAAATTACTTATCTTATTCATAAAAAAATTGTCATGTTTCTAATATCAACATAGACTTCTAGATAATAACCTTAGACCAGTATTTGAATATGCATTATCTGTTTGGAGGCCATAAAAAACAAATGGCTTAGAAATTCATTGTAACACTGAACAAGAGTAGAACACTTAAAATACAAAAACATGATAATATATAAAAATAAAATAAAAGCATGTTGTTCAATATAAGTGAGGCAGGCTCATATCCCTTTCATCTCTATCTTATTTTATTGATTACAGACAATCCTTCGTAGAGAAGATAATTATGTCCTTCACATATCATTGTGTTAATCAAGTTGTGCATATTAGTTAGAGACTTCAACTCTGCATTATCAAGTGCCAAATGCTAATGAAAAAACAAACATTTTTTCAAAAGAGAGGTTAGAGTTAAAGACTGCTGGGATAGTTGCCTAGCCCCCAGCCAATGAACCATTCACCTGTCCCATGAAAATACTTGTTCTAAAACAAAATTTTGTTAACTTACTTTCAAGTATTACTATCCATAACACCTGAAATTCGCTTGAATAAATTGTGAGGAAGATTATTTAGGGATTCAGTATAAAACGATAACAAAAAAACATATATTTTACCTTTCCCTGAGTATTAGCAGTTGTATTTTTGAGAGCACACTGAAATCTTGTTTTCTTGCCACCATCTGTTCCATTAACAGTCACGTTGGAATCTTTGATAAGATCTTCACTAACACTTAGGCTTCCATTTGTAGTATCGGATGTATTATAAGATCCATCTTGATGACTAGAATCCTCTCCAAAGTCAGATAGAAATGAGTTCAAGAGGGTCTTGAATGTGTACAGCAAAGGAAAGTATCTACGTCTCTGTGGAATTTGTTCTGAGTCTTGCTCATCATCATCTTCTGCTTCATCCTGGTCAGATATCGCCTCTAATATTGGTATTTCATTCATTTCTGAGGTGTCTATTTCGTTTGCTTCTTGATTCACAACATAGTCAACAGATTCTATGTGCTCTCTAGAATCAACAGGGTCCATTTCTCTAGCCACATCAGATTTAGGGCTGTTGTCAACGTTTACAAGTTGTATGTCATTAATATCATCGGTGCTGACATAATGCTTATCGTCTGACTCTTGGCCTTCTTGTGTATGTGCATCATCTACCTTTCCTTCTCTGGTCTCATCATTTTTATCATTAACCAACCATTTGGAGTCTGCAATCTTTACATCTTCGATACAATCTTCACCAAAACATTGATCCCCTAGAAGTTTTTCAGTTGATTCAGCATAAGGATTTCCTCTTGAGAAAAGCAACACAGTAGAACAAACTAGAAATGTCACTGTAGAAAGAAATAAAATGTTACTCTTCACAAAAATACAAAATAATTCAATATCAATATTTTACTGAATCGATATGTGAGCCCACAAAACATGGCAAAAAAAGGCTATCTAACATGTTTGAGTCACACAAGACTAGAATGGGGGATAAGATGCTATTGTCTTAAGGGAATAGTAAGAACAAGAATAAATCATTTTAAAACTGTGGTGGAAATATAATCACTCAAAAAGTTAAAAAATTATTACTTTGGGGTGAGGGAATGTTGTTTGATAACTTTAGCACTTGACCACATGGACCTTACCTTCTTTGACGTAATATCTATTTTTAACTATTACATTACATTATTTATCTTTTTTTTTTGTATCCAATGTAAGATACTTTCAGTTTTTCCCTTGGTCTAAACATTACAGAGCTACAAAATTCCAACTTAGATATTCCAAAATAGCAGTGATTGGGCTAAAAGTGATCAATATATTATATATATATATATATATATGTAAATGAGATTTTTTCAGATCTATCTATATGTGCTAATAGATCAATAGATACTAAATCTGGACTGTCTAATTGAAGAATTAACTACAGTTGAGTCCCTATTAGCACACAGGCATGAGTTGT